GGTACACTTTAAAAGTGTTTAAAAGTATTGTAAAACTGTTGGTAAATGAATATAAAACTACAAATTTTTCAATACTAATCAAATTTACCCGATTATTTAAATTAATATAATTTTATATGCTTTTCATGGCATGATATTTCTCTGAGTGTAGAAGCAGTTTTCAGAGTAAAAAAAAATAGAATGTTTTATGCATAAAACATTATATTCTCTTTTACTTTGAAAAACTGCTTCCATATCGATTGTTAGTATATTTTCAAGGGATAAATTTTGATTTACAAAGAAAAATTTAAGATTTTAACGCCGGTAGATTCTAACGGGAGTTCCAAGAAATACAACTGCCACTTTAACCCGTGTAAAAATGTTTAATACTTTGTGATAATATTTTGAAATTATAGTAATAAAAAAAAATCAAAGTGACTAAAATGGCGTTTATCAAACTTGCAGTGATGTAATGTAACGAGATAAATGTATTTATATACTGGATCTAGATACATTTTATGTACAGGGTGATCCCCTATAATGTCGCCCCCTTTAACTTTTTTATTTTAAGTGTCCCAAAAAATGTAAAAGTGTGGTTATGTAGGTACTAAAAAATACTTTTTTTCTACGTATAAAGAAAATTGGAAAATTGATCAGTATACAGGGAAAAACAAAAAGTTATTTTTTTTTTAATGGATCACCCTATATATGTATTTATTTTTCGATTCCTTGTAAAATTCTAAACATATTTCATTTAACATACCATATACCTAAATTCAACCGTTTCTGAAATATTTAAATTATTTTTAAGATAATAAGTTGAAATAGTTTGTCTTTCTCTGTCTGAGTACGCCATTTTTACTTATTTAACAAGACATTTTGACATAATGTCACTATAGTAATTTATTTTCAATAAAAATTTTGGTATACTGAGGCTTCTTGATTTCTAACAGTTTAAAAAAACATTTAATGATAACATTTCGAATGCGAATATTTCAGAAACAGTTGAATTTAGGTAGGTATATTGTTTGTTATATGAATTATGCTCAGAATTTTACAAGGAATCGAAAAAAAAATTCATATATAGGGTGATCCATTGAAAAAAAAATATTTTTGTTTTTCCCTGTATATTGATCAATTTTCCATTTTTGTTATACGTAGAAAAAAGTATTTTTTAGTACCTACATAACCACACTTTTAAATTTTTTGGGACACTTAAAATAAAAAAGTTAAAGGGGGGCGACATTATAGGGGATCACCCTGAACCTAGATACGTACCGAGATACTTAAAAAAATCAGGATCTACTTAAGTATCTAGATCCTTTTAAAAGTATCTAGATCCATAGACACAACTTGTGTCATACAAGATACATTTTATTTTACCCAACCTGATTGCAACCCTACCCGGAACATGTACAATGTACAATATCCATTGTATGTACATACAATGGATATACTCTATGGATATTCAGGAAATGCTCTATGGATATCCAGGATATACATAGGATATCCTGGATATACATTGGATAACCATTGGATATATAAATATCCGACCCTGCTGGATATCCATTGGACATCCAGTGGATATCGATTTTTATACAAAAAGTATGTAATATGTATATAATATGGAGATTGTATGGATATTCTAAAAAACCTATATAAAAAAAGCTTCCTCCAGTACTGGAAATTATATAGTCTAGTATTTTTTAGTTTCTAGCAGATTGCACACTTTTCCGAAAAACCAGAAAAGCGAACTTAATTATTTTTTTCTTCTTGCTCACAGTTCGAAACTGTGCCCACTGAGCTACTCCATGATTATATTTAGGATGTCTTATATTATTATACGAGTGGCCTATAGATGAACTTGCTTCATAAAAATATTTGGTTTAAAATTTACCTTTATGTTCTTTTTATTACTTTTATGTTAATTATTTTTAATTTTTTAAATCTCCAGTATGAATATCCCCTGGATATCCATTGGTTATCTACTGGATGTGGTTATCCAATGGATATCCAGTGGATATTCCTACAGGAGATTTAAAAAGAATAAAAACAATTATTATAAGTATTTTATAAAAACATAAAAATTCATACATATTTCGATATTCAGTAAATAACCATCTAATATCTATAAGATATACACAAGATATCCAGTGGATTTACATAATAAGTAGATTAGTAATTAATTGGATAAATTGAAAAAAAAAATTCCAAACAATTTTTTTCTTTGTCATTTAATTTTTAAGTTTTTTTTAACAGATAATAGATATCTGGAAGTATACTAGTAACTTAGATACTTTTTGAATGTATCTGTGTCTGTACCTAGATACTGAACAAAATGTATCAGTTACATCACTGCAAACTTGATACATAATATACTATTTTAATCTGAAACAAACTTTTGTTTAATAATAATCATGATTTTTGTAAATAAGAATAACACAAAATTAATTTATTAAATAAAATAAAGTTTAAGTAAAAATTATACAAAAATGTATAAATTTTGAATAAAAAACGAGTCTTAAAAAAATCCATAAATTACCAGAAACAAAATAAAAATAATTTTTATTATGTATGTTTTCTTAATTTTAACACCTGCTAACCCGACCTGTTTTAACTTAATTTCAGCATATAATAACAATATTTCTCAATGGATTATTTTTTTAAAGTAGTCTCAATAAGCAAACTTCAAACGCTACGGGACTCCAGTCTAGGATCTTCAAAACAAAAATTTAAAAATATATATTGTATTAAAAAAAAGCAACAACCACACTGAAAAAAAGGGCTCACGAATCAAAATGTTCTAACTTTAAAAAATCACAGGTGTGGTTCACCATGTACCATTTTATTCAACAACGTTTTTTATATGCAATATATCAATATTTAAAAATTAATTAATTTTTGAGTAATAATTTACAAAAATTCTAAAATCCATTAAAACAATTAGTTCTATTTATTTTAAATAGATCGTTTGGCGCCGGTTTTTAAAAGCCAAATAATAGATAATTTATGACCAGGCACTATTTACGCAATTATTTCGGATAAACAGATTGTTTGAAAGCACTACATGTGTCAAATAAAGATACCATCTTACGGTTTGTTATTATTTTGCGACGACCGAGGCCCACTTCGGTTTGTTTAATTTGAAAACAATTGATTTCGAGGTTAAGTTGTTTGTTTTCCTAGTGGGACGACAGTTGGTATTTTCGGGATATGTGATCTTTCCCTGATTTATTGCATTTATAAATGTTTATAAACTTATATACCTAGGTCCAGTTTCCATCAATAATTCAGCATGTCAAAAATAATAAAATTATTATTGAATTTAAATAATAATAAAACTTGTTTTCGAAAATTTAATTTAAATTTTCTTAATTTAACTTGCCACTGTTTAAATATTTTGACACAACAAACAATTCACGGAACTCCGATTTGTACTAAAACATATTAATTTTCCTAATCCAAATATTATGCTTATTTTTAGCGTCGAATTAAATATAAAATTTTTAAGGAACGATCAGTTGGGCTGAAAATATGAGTCACACCAAGTTTGTCAATGTAAATATTTACACTAATATTCCCAAAATAAAATCTAAACCAAAGTAATTAGGAGTTTGGTACTGTAAAACAGGGTGAATAAAAACAATTGTTTGCAGGATTTTTTTAAAAATTCATAAATATTTTAAATTTAATTTTGAAAGCCTTGTTTTAATTAAATAAACTAAGTAAATACATGTTGTTCCTAATCAACCTTTTTTTTTCGTCAGTAAAATGACACTGTTGACATTGCCATATTGCCATGGCAGTAAATTACTGCCGCCTAAAAATAACACAAAAAATTTGACATCTTTTAGACGGTTTCACTAATTTAAAATGTATTGTTTCTCATTGTTTAATGTATTGATGTTTAAAAAAATACCTATCTACCTATGGTGTATTTCATCAATTCATACTAAATGTTTTTGCCCTTGATTTTTTTAAGCAGTAGGTATATCTAATTCACTTAAAATATGTATGAAATATGGAAGCGGAAAAATCACATCAAAAAATCCAGCTTCCTGTTTAGTATCTAAACTAAACTTTCCATGTTTTCTTAGTACATGATCTGCATAAGAAAATATATATATGGGCCATCGGGCCACTTGTCAAAACACACCCTACATAATATGGAAATAAAGGGATCCCGATATATTTACCAAAAAAAACACACACAATAATATCAAAATACAAAAACTATTTATAATCTCATGCCTACTAACCTATCTCAATATTTGGGATGTTGAGCCAAAGTTAAAATAAGTTTACGTGGGATAAGCCTAACGAGTGATAAGCGTTTATTTTTTTACCTTGTCAAAAGTAACGAAGTAGGTAAATACCTACTTTACATTTTTCATAATTACTCATTTCCTAATTTACACTTACCGACTGTTGCTAGACTTGGCTGTAAGATTTTATGCAAAATTAACACTGATTTATTTATTTTAAATCAAATATTTACCTTTAAACCCCTGTATGTATAAATATCATCCAAACAAGCACAAAATCACGTTAAATAACCACAAATTAATAAAATTAAATTAGAACTGTCAAAAATTGGGCATTTGTTTATCTGTGTTTTCTTGGAATCATAAACGTACCGCTCATGCGCAATGGGACGAGGCACACCGCTATTAAAAATATTGAATAATGCGTTTTAAAATTGACGTTTGTTCTGTAGTTTGTGTCATGCACAATAAAAATACAAGTGTAACCAAATTCCAAAGACCTTAATGGTACAGTTTTTATTTATGTATGGCAAATTAAAACTTTTGACAGCGCTTTTCTGTCATTTAATGGCTGTCAGAAATCAACAACTTGTAAATGTTTTTGTCTTTTTGCACTTTGTGTATGTGTAACATTATTGTCTGTGAGTGATGGTGTATGAATTATACGCATGGAATTTTAATAATAAGAAGGATATTAAAGGTAAAAACAGTAATTTTATTACCAAAAATCGTAATCATAATTATTTTTATTTTGACAGATAGCTAAAAATCAAGACTGTCAACAAAATGGTAAGTCAACTCATGTACCTATGTAGCCGACTAGATTTGTTACCAAAAACTTAATTTAACCTACAAAATCGTAATTTCTTCACACAGTGTCTATCTAATTTAGAATTGATTAAAACTTAATACGTATTTAGTTTTGGGCCACACATAGAGATACTCGATGTGCAGCTCAAAATCTAAACAAAGCGTAAAGCACTCGTCGCCGAATGAAACATGTGATAAATATTCGATGGTTTTTCATCCACGAATCTGACAGAAAGTTGCGTTCACACCGCGAACCTCATACACTTCGCTCGATTTATTATAAATAAATATTAATTTATATGAGTTGCACTGTAAACATTTGATGGTAATTTAATTTTGAGGCTGCAGGAGAGATTTCTTTTGTGTTATGATATATCCTATTTAAAAAACTATTTTAATTTTTGTAAAGTAATGTAAGTAAGATTTTTTATTTTGATTTTAAAGTTTTTTCATTGAAATAACAAAGGATATTAAGCTATAGCTTGATGATAATTTAGGTTACGTACTACAATTAACACAGGTGCGATTATTACATGATTAAATGCATTTTTCCACTCGCACCTTTAAAACGCCCTTTATCGTACATGTTTTGATCTTTTAAATACACATTGACAAGTTGTGGCTTTACGGCGCTTTAGTCACGGGCTGAAGTTAGCAACAGGTTTTTAGTCACGGGCTGAAGTTAGTTTTAAGTTAGTTGATAGTTGTCAAATGTCATACAATCGTTAAAATAAAGTGCCTTTTTTGTAAAATAATACTAAATGTGAAAATTATTTTATTATCTCAATACAAAAATATTAAATAGTTTCTTAACGCCAATATTTGAAAAGTTCATATGAACATTGCACGAACCTTTTAATTTCGCCGGCAATAAACTATAACTTAAATTCGGGCACGGACTCCACTGTAAAGTCCTCATAAAACATTTCCTTTACTTTCACTGTGAAAAACTGTCAATTTTCAAGATACATTTCGATTTATAACCTTTATAATTGTGTTTATAAAATGTAAAAATGTGAATTTGAATGTGACATTTGACAGTTTCCCCTGTTGTTTCATAGATGGCGCTCTATACAAATTTTTGATTTAAATCATTTTAAGATAATAATAAGTATTTGTCGTAGAAAAAGTATAGTATGCACCTCGTTTATAAACTTTTCTATACACTCATTAACTTAAGCACTCGCTCGCAAGCTCGCTCGTGCCTAAATTAAAATCGTGTATAAAATGGCGTTTATCAAACTTGATACATAATATACTATTATCTACTCCCACATTGACAAGCTGTGACTTAATGGCGTTTTAGTCACGGGCTGAAGTTAGCAACAGTGGCTTTTGGGCATTTTAATCACGGGCTGAAGTTAACTTTATTATAAATTGCGAAAAAGTGAGGTTAAATTCTTCAAATGTTAAATTTGTATGAATTAAAGTCGGCATAAAATTGTTATTTCTGTTCGTCATAGATAAAGTATAGTATGCAACTCGTTTTATAACTTCTCTAGACAGTCGTTTTTATTAAACACTCGCTCGCAAGCTTCGCTCGTGTTTAATAAAACTCGACACTAAAATGGCGTTTATAAAACTTGATACATAATATACTATTTTAAAGTAGTAAAGTAAATTAGTTGCAACAATTTTACTACAATTCATATATCGTATGTATTTGGCCCTGTAGGACCTACAGTGTAGGTAGAGTCATTTCATGAAATTTCACCTAATGACAAAAGCTTGACATCTCAGATTTTACTAAGTTATAGGATTTGAAGATCAATGCTTGGGATGAACTAAAATCACAATAATATTTTTTTATTTAAACACCCTGAGAAATTAGGCGAGGCCCTGTTGACCGGTTTGCATAAAATATTACCAAATCGGTTCCTAAGTAATCCTTTTGTAACTTTTTTGTTTACTAATATTTTTTATCGCTTAATATTTTGTTTTAACCATAAAACAATGTACAACCTAAATTTATACAAACGTTTTTACAAGTGCAGTTTTTTAGTGCTAAATTCACGTTTCTTTTAACTGAAAAGTGAATTTTCTACCACTGATATTAGTATGTAGTAGGCTATGTAAATTTGATTTGGTGTATATTTTTATTTAAAATACTTATAAATATCGATTAAAATATAAAATGCAAAATTATAAAAAAGAAGGTACCCAAATTGCAGGAAATACCATTATTATTATAAAAATTTACCATTTTTGGCGAACAAAATACATTTTTTCGTCCAGAGGGACTGAACGAAAATTGTTCAAAATTTAACAGAATGTTCCCCTCAATATACAGGGTGTTTCATAATATATGCGCAGGACTTCAGGATGCGATAGCTCATCCAAAAAGATGAAAAAAGTCGCTATTAACTTACCCTCTAAAATGCACAATTTTCGAGATACAGGGTGTTGAAATTTTAGAAAAAAAAATCGTTTTTTTCGAATATCTCCGGAACCGTTTATCGTATAAAAAACAGCTTTTGTTAGCATTTTTTACTCATAATAAGCTATGTTTTGTACCAGAAAAAAGATTTGAAGGGGTAGCGGGTGTTTTTCCTCAACTTCTACGCCCCTAAAAAAAGTACGGTTTTGAGAGACCCATTCGAACCGCCAATTGAACACACAAAAGGTACTCTTGGTTATAAGCTCTAAAGTTGACCGTTTTCGAGAAAAACATAGTCAATTTTTTGAAAAAAAAATTTTTTAACATTAGAACAAGTAACAAAACCAAACGATAATTGCAGAATTAAAAAAAAATGATTTTTTACACAAATGCTGAAATGTGCGAACCTTTACGGTTTGGAGAATTTTGCAAAGACAACTTTTGAATCATTTTTATTTTTTTTTTAATTTTGCAATTATCGTTTGGTTTTGTTACTTGTTCTAACGTTAAATACATTTTGTATAATTGGTAAAATAAATTTTTTTTTCAAAAAATTTACCATGTTTTTAAACATAAAAGTTAATTTTTCCCGAAAACGGTTAACTTTAGAGCTTATGACCAAGAGTACCTTTTTTGTATAGAAAACATTGGCGGTTCTCAAAACCGTACTTTTTTCAGGGGCAAAATATAGCTTATTATGAGTAGAAAATGCTTACAAAAGCTGTTTTTTGTACGATAAACGGTTCCGGAGATATTCGAAAAAAACGATTTTTTTTCTAAAATTTCAACACCCTGTATCTCGAAAATTGTGCATTTTAGAGTGTAAGTTAATAGCGACTTTTTTCATCTTTTTGGATGAGCTTTCACATTCTGAAGTCCTGCGCATATATTATGAAACACCCTGTATACTGAAAACTGTAAAAAATAAATATTGTGTATTTACCTTGCTAAGAAGATACAACGGTTTAAAATGCGACAAATTTTATAGAAAATGGCACTAAATTTATATATGATTTTTGTTTAAGAAGGCTTTAATAGAAAAGTCAAGTTATATTTTTTACATATAAAAAATATTTACATACCTGATATGTTTACATGTTTTAAAATGTGCTCCGTTGGACAATTCCTGAATGAGAAGTGTCAAAAACTGATGAAATGTGATATTTTTTTACAAAATATCAAAGACCTATAGTAAAACTATAGTAAAACTAAGAGTAAATGATAATTTTCAAACAGTTAGGGACACAAAAAAATATGTGGATAAATCATTTGTAATTTAATTAATTAATTTAATTTACCAGTTTCTGATTTCATTGACGAAATATTATCAGCAATAGATTCTTTAAATTAGGGGCTGAAACTTTGAGGGGATTATTTTCTCTGTTTGTACATAAATATTTTGCTTGGGGTAATAAAAATAAATTTTTCTTCAAAACAAATCACCGTAACAATAAATTTTTTGTTTGTAACTGACAATAAAAAAGAGAAACCGCTTTAAAAATTCTGCATAACTAAGGCATTGTTCACCAAAAAATTTGACTGCCAAGTTAAACGATTTTTATAGAAGCACCAATATATTTATTCATCATCATGTTCAATGACTTAAGTCAGTCACTCGAACTGGAGTGTACCGTATGAGGTGTGAACTCGAGTGGGAGATAAATTCGAGTAAAAATTTGTTTTCTTAAAGGCAACGGCGCATAATTTATGCGACAATAATGAAGCTGCGTTGGAATGCATCTCGGAGTATTCCATGTTCGTCAATAAGCCACTTTGAACGCTTTTGAAGACCGTGTTTATTTTAGTATGGCTTAATTGCGTGAGCACCAGGCCTTTTGTCCGTAGAAATTAATTTTTTGTCAAGTCAAACTTTTGTAAACGAATTTTAAATTTATTCTTAGACTCTACATTCAATGCAATATTTGAGGTTGGGTGAATCTCACGAAATGTACCCCGATTGTGTTACCCCGTGATATTTAATAAAACTAAATGAGTTTGTCCTACACTTTTATTGTGTTTTGATGTTTCATAATTAGGTAGATATTAAAGCTTAGGTTCCAGACTTTTAACCGCAATTAAATATTTTTTACAATGTTTTAAAAGTCTAAAACCTATCCTCCGTGACTGTTACTCTTTCTAGGTTAACCTATATGTTTTCAAGTATCTGAGGTAGTAAAAGCATAAAATAAAATAAAAGTTCACTAAGAAAAAGTCTAAAACCTATCCTCCATGACTGTTACTCTTTCTAGGTTAACCTATATGTTTTCAAATATCTGAGGTAGTAAAAGCATAAAATAAAATAAAAGTTCACTAAGAAAATTAAACACATCCAAAGCAATCGAATCAAATATAAAATATTATTAAAAATTAAAAGAAATTATTTTTATAACCATTTATGTAGGTGTTACAAAAATTGATTCTATCCTCCGTGAATTAAATATTTTTTACAATGTTTTAAAAGTCTAAAACCTATCCTCCGTGACTGTTACTCTTTCTAGGTTAACCTATATGTTTTCAAATATCTGAGGTAGTAAAAGCATAAAATAAAATAAAAGTTCACAAAAAAAAGTCTAAAACCTATCCTCCGTGACTGTTACTCTTT